TTCATCTCTAGCATTAATTTCAAAATACACGACAATTAAAGTCATAAAGAGAACGGGGGCCGTTGTTTTGGATTGGTTTGCCATTGATATTGGACATGGAGATATCACCCTTTTACAATTATACGAAAGGCTGGCCGCGGCCAGCGATCATCGCCCGGAAAATTTCAGTGACATTCTGTCCAAAGCAGCACATACCAGGTTTTTTTTGTAGCGAAAAACGGGTCGACAAGAGCGTAGTGGTATTTGGTGGACTGAAGGTCGGACAGGCCACCCGATAGTTGGCTGCTACGTGTGAGTCGAAGTAGACAAAATGGCATCGACCGAAATTACCTTTTTTAGATTTGGTAGTAGGAAGCATAGGCCTATCTTTGCTTCATTTTTTTAAACAATTATGTGAAGTGTTTACAATGCTTTAATTTTCTGAGAGTACAAATAAAGACACGCTGTTTATTTGATATTTGTTTTATTGATTGCTATACCAACAGAATGCATGAAATAACCTTAAATAGATTTGGTAATATGCAGCATATATATTCATGACTTTTTACCTTTCTGCGAAGTAGGCCCTATTCACAATGCTTTAATATTTTGAGAGCATGGATAAAGACATATTGTTAGTTTGATACGTGTTTCTGTGGTAAATTAGTGTTTCCAGCTGTGTACTGAAAACATAACTTTTCTTAAGCAGTTTTTTTTTTTGACTGTTTTTTTTTCGCCCGCTCGCACCGATTTTGGGGTCCCCAGAGGATGTCATCCATAAAAATAAAAAAGTGTGGCCTAATTATGAAATAACCATTTGAGCTAAGTTAAATATTTAAACCAAATATTGACGGATAATGCACCAACCATTCGTTTCTTATTAACATTTTTGCAAAGAAAAGATTATATTAGAGTTACGGCGACATTTAAGAATGTGGATCGAATCTCATATTCATAAATTATGCAAGTGGAGTGACAAAGTTTGAGCAAGTCTTGACAACAAAAAGTGAAGGCTTCATACGACACTGATGCTGAGCAACTTATGACTTTATTATAATTGTGACTTACATACTGTATGCCTAACATAAAGATATTAACTGGATGGTTATTTTATAATTATTCAAAATAACGTTTCCGAACTATTTTGGTAAGTAGGCCTACATTGTTGTCTCGGGGTTATAACTCTCTCTCTCTCTCTCTCTCTCTCTCTCTGTGTGTGTGTGTGTGTGTGTAAAATAAGAGCGTTTAAAAAGAAAATTGTAGTGGATACAACCACTAGAAAATGAGAAAAAAAACTCACCGAAGGATTCCTGTCGTCTGGTCAAATGCCTTAATTCCCCCGCGAACGATGATGCTCCGAGAGCCACCGAAATGACGCCACAAACCAACGCGTATGAAACAAGACAGTGGATCTTCATCGTTGTGATGTGTGCTATTCATCCCGCGTTCTCTCCATTTATACAGTTTCTCTCCCCTCAGTTGATGAGGTAAAGTCATAATAACCAATAACATCTATGGAAGAGAATGACAAACGCCCATACAGATAGCACGCAGTGGTATAATGACACTAGGTACATAGTTAATTCAAAATTTAAAGAGGGCCCAGATTATAAAACAAATTTACTACGCTAAGCAGCTGATTCCGTCGACATTTTAATGAATGTAGAATGAGTCAAATGTACATACTTTATTCATGAAGTTCTCTTTCACACTGTCAAAGCTACGAGTTGTATGCGAATTTCTCTTACAAGTCAAAGCAGCAAGAGTGACCAGGCACCCCATTGAATGTGCTGTCACTAGACACTAATATGAGTTGTTTTTTTTTTTTGTTTTTTTTTGGGGGGGGGGACTCTTTAACAGCTGAAAATTTGAAAATATGGAAAATCAAATATCGCTGTTAATTGTTGTTTTATGACTTAGAATACACCATGTATATTTGGTTATTCATTGATGCCTTTAATTGTAGAACCAATACCACAATGACACTGATGAGGTTAGTAAAAGTTATTGAAACATGAAAAACCTTTGTTTCCATTTATCCTTGAGAAAAATTGGGGAAAAATCGAAAGAAAATTATATGAAAAAAATATTCCACAGTAAGTCTGTAGATCTATATTAACCCAAACGAAATTCCCAATGTAATCTCATCTCCAAGAATGCCTTAATTTGAATCTCAACTGTGACTGAGACTTTACGTCATCTTAAAAGATGTAGCCATACGCTTTTCTTTTTATCTAAGTTCAATATTATTTCAAAATCTTTTACATAATAGGTTTGAGAATATACTCAATTTCAACCCAATTTTCACTGCATACTAGCTGTAGTTCTAATCATATCACAGACGGGTATGATATAACTAATAATAATAATAATAATAATAATAATAATAATAATAATAAACGAAACTTAAACCATTTCAAAGAAAACCAGGCGTAATTAAATATATTCTGATTTCAAAAGACCGATCTTCTTTTTTAATTTTCTTCAAAAATATAGTTTGTACATTATTGTTATTGCATGTTCAAAATTATGTGAACGTACGTCCATACATATATTTAAAGTAAAACAGGAAAAGCGACTGTGTTCACGGCATGCCAAATAGTAATTAGTCTCAGAATTAGTTCGAAATTTAGTATGATGTCGGCAACAGCTTGAGAGAACGTGTGTTACGAATGCGTACTTTCAGCTATAGGAATTCAATGATGCAGCCGTACAATTTTAAAAAAATCCTAGACATTTTTGTCCCACAAATCGATTTGCGCGATCGATTGCTGCATCTTCTAGTGGACAGACCATGAACATACTACCGTCATCATTTTTGTGGCCACCGTAGATGTCTTCGCACACTTTTGAAAAGTAATAAACGAAAAACTAAACCAAGCATTGTTCTCAAGCTTACGGTCCCAGGACTAAAATACAGATCAATTTCGAAACTCAGAACACTTGTTGAAGTAATGCTTTTTATTAAATATTTCAATTTATCCCATATTCAGCTCATTTACATGTTTAAGTGAGTTTTGGCTTTTTTATTTCTAGTATGAAAATCAGCCTGATTGGATTGTGTTACTAATTTTGTTAATTTCTTGTCAATTTTGACTTTAATGTCAATATTTCAATTTTCCATATATGCATGTGCACTTGTTTTTGTCTCCCACAAACTTCTATATCGCACCCTTTTTCTTGTAAACTCTAGAGCAGACGATGACTAAGTATCTCTTTCCCTTCGTTATAAAGAGAAATGATTCCAGAATCAATTCTCATATATGTTCAAATCTTGGCTATGGCATGAAGATAGATTTAACTGCCCGGTATTCGTTCGAACGTTCCGTGATTATGCCCAGACTATTTTCTGAGTCTTTTAAAATAAAGAATGTTTTGAGGGAAACTTAAAGTGGATATAGACAAACAAGAAGTACTGCTTAATCAAAGTGAAACAAAGACGGTTGAGGCACATTCTAGTCGGAAATGCCTTGCCTAAAAGGTATATTCTGTTATAATAATTCCAGCCTTAATATTATAGATTAATTATCACAATTTGCTAAGATTGAGATTGGAATTTATTAGCAATAAGCCATTAAGATGACCATTTAAAACCCGACAAGGCTCTGAGACCGTTGCACCGGAACCAAGAAAGGTCCTTGAATCAAATAAACCCGAATTTTGTAAGTGACTTTTGCTGTGACAATTTGTTAAGCATGCTTGGATGATCAGTGGTGTAATTTACTAGTACTACACGCTCGAACGCACACCGATTTGTTCCTTCAGTTTCTTGAGTACAATCCTAGCTAAATCTGCTGAGATTTAATATTTAATCTTCAAGTTGGAGACAGTCTGTTGCGACAGCTTGTTATAACGGAAAACATCTCTTAAGTATGCAGTAATGCTACCCTTATCAACAAGTGACTTTTTAAAATATTAGTGTTTCTAATAATAGCGTGCGTCCTTCTCACAACACCACTAGAGATGGAATTTTGGCATAATACAATGTATACTGCATGTTATGCTTTATTGAATGTCGGTCAGAACATGGAAGTATAACTGGTTACACTTTCATGGTCAGAAAACCACAAGAAAATGGGAAAAGTGAAATACATTTTTTTCAGATAACCCATACCAGCTCATTAACAATGTCAATAATTCAACTAGTATGATACACTCTATGATGTACACTGCCAGCAAAATTTACACAGTAATATACAAGTAGAAATATACGAAACTTTGCCAAGTTGAGAACTAGAGCTTGAATAATGCTTATATACAAGTTCGTGCAGAATAAAAATTTGCTCCTGAGCGGTTGCAAACTTAAAAGTACACACATAAGCACTAGATGATTAGATCGTGGCGTGTAGATTTTGTGAACTTTGATCATTTGTTTTATTGATATGTTTGCTCGGATACGGTTCACAGAACAGGCAAGGACTCGGTTAAGTACGTCGTCAACAGCCAAAGGTCAACGTGTACTTTTTTTTTCAAAATGGGCAGTTGTAATGAAATAATATACATTTTACGTGAGGGACTGTTTAGTACTTCGTCAACAGCCAACGGTCAACAGTCTTATAATTAATTCAACCAAATATATTTAAACTATCTGCCCCTCCTTAACACTAGATAAGAGAAAGTCGTCGTGTGCTTGTTTTCTCTAGTAGGAAGAAAGTAATGAAATTATATACATTTTAACTTTGTGCCGACAGCGATTGCCGACAGCGACCGCGACCGCCTAATATATAAATATCTTCCAAACCGAAGAATTTTGGGAAAAGTAACCATAAAAGATTTGCTCTTTGGCGTATATTTCAAAGTCAAATAGGCAAAAAAAATTAATGTTCTGTGAAAAAAATATTTCTTTGTGCCGATTTGCTTTGATATTATGGTGAGAATTCAGACTTGGGGCACCTGTCATCATCCCGAATGCATTTTCACGGGAGAAGCAGCCACTGGATGCTAAAAAATGAAAACTCTCGGAATTCTGGAACCATAAAGCTAGAGACCTCTTACTTAATAAAAAGCCATCTTTTATTATCAAAAATAAAAAAATACTTATTTTTTTACCAGACAAATTATGGTGTCCCTTAGACATATATAGTCACATTTATGTTAGATAAAGAAATTGGTAACACCACTTTATTCTAAGGCAGGTCAAGGCATCCAACTGTAATTTTTCAGTTAATAAGAATGAAATTAAATAATGAGGCATACAAAGAAAAAAACTGCACATGGTCTCTACTGATTTCAATCTATCCTGATACGTGTAAAAATCATTATCCTTCGTTTCATTATAAAACCGATATTTGTTCTTCTTTCTTCAAAAAGGTTGTCTTCATATCAGTCTGCCTTTATGTAGCACGTGATGTCTTCAAACACTTGGCTTTTACTGTAGATTCGGCCACATCATCCAATGAGTTGGCTTGAATGCTCTTGTCAATCCCTTGCAACTTTGCAAGGAAATCTTTGACGCTGGCTGCATACAACATCTTCTGTTTAATTATAGCATTCTCAGGACTCCTACGAAATAAAACAATGGACTTGAGTAACATAATCTTCCCCAATACCCAAATAGGAAGTTTAAAAAGGTTCAGTACACCATAAGAGCTCATAAATATGAAAACTTCAAAATTATTGAGATATAATTTATCATTTAACTAGTACAGTCACAGAACTGCATAGCTCATTGTAGGAGAACAGTGCTGCAGGATGAGATTTAGCAACAAGAGGATAAATAAAAATTAATTATTATAATTTATTTTAACAAGCAAACAATGACACTTTTAATGCACCTTTCCAATTGAGCTATTAATTTGAATATTGACTAGAATACATGATGTAAATAAAAAAAGTTGACTACGTATTACATGGGGTATATATCTTTTTAGCAGAAGAAGCACAGATTAATTGAAGTTCATTAAGATTTATTTTTCTCGTAAATGTATTATGGTATTATTACTCACCAGCTGAAAAAAATAATAGAGCTCTTCCACGTTGAATTTTCCTGTGTGTACCCATAGTCAAAGAGAGCGTAACAGCACTCTCTTTTTTCTTCTGTATCTCTTAAGTAATCAAGGAATTCTTGATAGGCCTTATCTGCAATACAATTTAAACATATGAAATTGGGAATCCAATGAACAATAAAGTTATGAAAATTTTTTTATTACTAAGAATATGTTCAGAATTGAATATTCAAGTTTTATCATTGTCAGAGACTACGAGTACATACACTGTACAAGATGCACTACACTCAGCGGCGTATTTAGGGGGGTGTCGGAGATCCTGACCCCCTCTTCGATTTCTGAAAAAAATCACACCAGTGGCCCCCTCTTGAAATTAGATATTGACTAGCTGAATCATAGTTCTAAACCATACCAAATGGCACCGTTCGCCCTCTAAAATTCCAAAAACTTTTCGGGTCCTGAACCCCACGTCAAGGGGGAGGGGGGGAGGGTCGGCTTCGCATCCGCGGATCCCCCTTCAATTCCTGCATCCGCCCATGTACTCTGTATACACGTTTAAATACCCACGCTATGTTACCCATGCCAGTGCTTATCTTTACCAATACATAAACTTTAAAAACACTAAAGGGATACTTATTTTTAATATTTTAAAAGCTACTTAGTAGTTTCAACAAACCTTGTTCTTCCTGATCTTGTTGGCCAGAACTGCAGCTAGTACGATCTACACCAATCGCGGAGAGGGCCTTGCCATTATGGTCTACGATTTTAAAGATGACATAGGCATATTTCTTATTCATTTTGATGTCATTATAGCTGTCAGGCATTCCTCTAGTACTTGAACTCCAGAAGACTGAAAAATTCAAGGCTTGGTTGAAGAATCAAACAGTACACAAACTAAATGAAACAGTGAAGCCACGAGGACGGTAGTAAAAGGCAAGCTTCATAATTATGATTTACAATGTATCTGTCCATAACTATCGTTTGTTAATCGTGGTCGATAAGAAGCCCAATAACCGCTCCCTGAAGCCTTGGCAAGATTTGTTCATTAACACAAAAAATACCTCATTGCCACATAAGTATATTTTAAAACAATAAACGTTAACTTTACATGACTTTAACTTAACATGAAAAGTTAATACCTTACCATTTTGATTATTGCTATAAACTTGCAGGCGTAGTTTAATTGACTGAACGTTTTCCCTCACTCTATCGTCTTTTCGGTCCAATTTAACTATTAACGATGTATTTCAGGACTATTTATACGCTTTCACAAATACAAGTCTTTTTGAAGAGGAAATTTGTCACAGGTAAGCTCAAAAATACCCCTGTATGAATCAACCAGCGTGTAACGTTACGAATCAATAATAATCCGGCACCTTTTTTGGTTAACCAAATCGGTTATAAAATGTCGTGTTTGGGACTAGTGCGTTTTCATTATCCATATTTGGTATTGAGACTGTATGATTGATTTTATGTCATCAAACTACCCTGGGTTTGAAGTGTTTGAATAGCTTACCCAGAATTACACCAAGATGTTTACACACTATTTTCACTTGTAAATCACTTGCTATAAATAACTGCCGTGTAACCCGCCACAGCGAGCAGTGACTAATGTATCAACCAGCTTTCCAAATAAGTAGAATATTCAGCACCCTTTTATAGACATATACTGTGTCTGTGCATTTATTCAATAACTACATTATTTTTTGACTAATTATTTCATCAGGCCTGTTTCATTGTCTACATTTGGTGAAGTAATCAAACCGTACAATATATGAAGTAGCGTCAGCAAAATGACCGACCCGACCTGACTGGCATTTGTTTGTAGAGGTCAACTTCCTGATAAGGAAAAGTAGGTCAACATGTGCAGGTCGAATACAAATATGGAAATGCTAGACACAAGAACCCAATATAGAAGTGCATTCCACATGCTGAAGTGTCCAAAAATAAAATTGAATGAATTCAAAGATGTATTCAATTTTTATTAAATTTTTTATTACAGCGGGGGATATATAAAGGGTGTCTGGGGGTGGGGGTGGGGGGGTTCTGACACCCCTCCCTTCGGTTTCTGAAAAAAATTTACCTCCCCTCCTAAAAAACAGACAAGCTGATTAATAGTACTTAACTGTACCAAACGACACTGTTCGCCCTCCAAAATACCAAAAATTTTGGGGGCTCGCTGAAGGGCCCCAAACAACCCCACGCCAAACCGGGAGGGAGGGGGTCGCCTTCGCGTCCGCCCCCCCCCCTCCCCCGTAATCCGGGATCCGGCCCTGTGTGGGGCAAATATGCTTATGATGATCATCCAGACCATCAATTAACGCAAATATTTTCATTATTATTTATTTATTATTATTAGTGTGTGTGCGTGCGTGTGTGTGTGAATATTGCCTTTTTTCGTCTTCCTTTATTTTAATCCAATTATATATCTTTCTTTTGTTTAATGGATCTGTCGCAGGCCACATTAAAATTCAGGTGAATTTAAATTAAGACCAGACTAGGCTACATTGAAATCCAAGTCACAGAAAATTTAAATTATATTCATTTCAGTTACATTTATTTCTGCATTGGTACATTGGTTGTCATGAACTTACACAATATAATATAATATGATAATACAATTGGTGCATTTCCATTCTGAAATAAGTATTTGCATAACCTTTGTGTAAATTTACATCCATAATTTTATATAATGGACAGATATTCTAGTTTCGTTGATAATTGTTAAGAAAAATCTGCCCAATTGGTTCTTTTTTGACTTATTGATATGCCTGCAATATATTTTCGGAAGCAGTGTTGTTATTTCTTCGACCTTATTTGCGCTGGAGTTTGAGTAATACTGGCTGTATGAGTGGCTGCTTATCTTTTTAGATACTTTAAAAAACATCTTGTGCGTGTCTCAGTATATAATATATGGACATTACCCCTATATTAAAAAAATATAACCCCTTTTTCTAGAGTACCGATTCTGTTACGTTTAAATGTACCATTTTCATTTCATCTTTTATTCGACTGAAAAAATTTAGCCCCCACCCAGCATTTCCACCATGGCGGTTTAACAAGAAGCTCGGCTTAACAGTGTCTTTGTTTTGGTTATTTACTACTGTACTGAGTATTTTACCTTATTACTAGAAAATAAAGCTGTAGTATATGCTTATAATGCAAAGTTATAAGTTTGTTATTACCCACTACCAGGGTGGCAGATATCATAGGAACATTTTCCACATTTCCAGACAGAGAACAAAATGATCGTCTATTTATCTAAAGACATATCTGTGAATATCTTGTGAAATATCAATCTTTGGCCCTGGTTGATGGCATAGGTTTGTAATAAACTGAGATACAGTGTTTGTACGTGTTAATCATGGACATGTATTTAATTTTGTAATATGACATATTCTGGACAGAGATAGCTTTAGGATATTGAGAGGAAACCTTTGTTATAAAATAATTCCTATTTTTAAATACTTTACCAGTAAAATTCCTATTTTTCTTTTATTTTTTAAACCCTCGATTTCATTTACAGTATTTCTACTATCTAAAGATCTATTTTAACATGAAGCCCTGATGACGCAGTAACCCTAGAAGCGATGCAACCTTATATACAAGATCTAGTGAATACCATCAGTTTTTGTTTGCGATCGGAAACAGTCCTGTATCAAAAACAATTGCGATCTGCTACACATAGTAAGGGATCCGATGTCGCCGTGATTTCTCACGTGTTTCAGAAAACGTTACACCTCGCAGCTGCATTCATGGGCGAGCCAGCAGCACATCTGAAAACTGAAGCAAATTCCTGCACCTGGGATGCCGGACCCATTGCTCTGGAAATAGAAAGCTGTACTTGATAACGCTAGAAAATATATTTTATTTACTGATGACAATTGATGTCAATTTAATTGCCTTGATTAACAGAAAAACACTACAAATAAACAAATAAAGTTCGTAAACATCTTTAGTTTGAATAATTATAAAATAACCATTTGAGCTAAGGTAAAATTTTTCACCAAATATTGATGGATAATGAACTAACCATTCGTTATTTTTTATATACACTGAAGATTTTTCCACTATATAACATAGTTTTTTAATGATTGAAAAACGATGTCATGTTTCCAAACTATTTTTGATCGAGTGTAGATTGACGTATATAGACTGAACTTTTACCAACAAGAACATCGTGACGGTCTCAGTCATCAAAAGCACACTCACCTAACCGACCCTGGGGAATGAACGGCGGTCGCTATACTCTGCCTCACCGCTTGGGGTCGCGTGTGTTCACACCATATCTGAAATAACAGAGAGACGTAGGCCTATTTTTCAGTGTGTGTGTGTGTGTGTGTGTGTTCATCTGAATTGTCTAATTCCGAGACCGAAACAGCTGTCAAAGCCCAAATTTTGGCCCGAGTAGTAGACTAAATACTGAACGGCATAACTTTATTATTTATTAATTATTATTATCATTTATTATTAATTATAATATTATAATAATTACTTTATTATTTACATTTATTATCTACATTGCAAGGTAATGAAAAAATGCTAATTAAAATCTCCCAAACTGACTCCAGTTTTCTTCTTGCTTTTTCTTTGAACTATCAGACTTCCTTTCTCCAACTCGACTGTTACTTTGTCACAATTGAGATGAAAAAGAAATTACCGCAGCAATGACTGGATTTTTTTTCCTTGGGGGTGGCGGGGTTAGGTGTTGGGGTCGGGGGTAAACAGGGGTTGTAATATTAACATGTTGGTTCTGAATATTACTATACTTCAATTATGCACAGAAATGAAACAATCCTGCTGCTTGAAGTAAAAATGCTGAGAATGCCTAAGATGTGTATTTCTGTCGCATTAATCCCAGGCTTACCGCTGAGTTTGCTATGAAAAACAACTCCTCTGGGGTTCTGTTCACTCCTGGCAGCATTTTTTCTGGGCCATTTCTGGATACCCACTTCTTGTAGGCCTAATTCAATAAACACATTTGTTTAATATTGGATTAAACGATCTTTTAAGTTATTCGAGGTTAAACAAATTTTCGATGTCTATAAAAGCCAACAATTATTTTCTCTCTTTTCTATTGTCTGCATTCTACTTAAACACACGCACACGCACACACACACTCACACACACACACGCACACACACACTCACATACACCTACCATGTAACCAACGCGAAGGCCACCTATGTCGGCTATATTTTCTGTCAATGTTAGATTCCCGTTTACCTAAACATCAAAACAAGCAAAACAAATTAAAAGTTAATCTGAAAGAAAATATGTAAATGAAATTGTCAGGAATTCGAAAAAAACTCTATTTGTCCTTTTATTTTTAAAATCATCATCTCATTGGCCAGGGTTACTTTAGATGTAAAACTAATGTGAAAAATCGCTCGCGCGTGTCTGTCATTTGTTTTTCAAGAACCTTGAATCCGGAAACTTCGTAATTGGAAAAATAAGAAGAAACGCATGCGGTGGCTCGATCATATGCTTGTTTGGACAAACTTGTCCACCAGTTTAGTAATCTACCATCCTTGTCGTATTGGGAACCTAAGAGAGAGAGACAAAGTATATCAGAAACAGCACAATTCCCTCCCAGTTTCAAAACGTAAACCAAATCATTGTTTCTTTCCCTTGATTATGAAACAAAATAGTTCTCAATACAATTCCGTAGAAACAATAACTAAAGCATCGACAAATTAATGTCTTAGTAGGCCACACAAATATCTGTAGAAGAAGAAATAATTTCAAAGGCTTTTAGTTGAAATTAAGTTTTTATTCGACTGCACAACACACTAAGCGTTTTAGTGTACATATTGTCTACCTCTTGTGTCAAAACCATGCGTTATTTCATGCGCTATAATCATTCCAATGCTCCCAAACTTCATTGCTCTGAAAAAGGTGCAATTTTATGTTTTGGTACGCTATCTTTACAATCAACCGTACAACAAAGCATTCTAGGGAATTTCTGTAAACACTTATCAACTACCTTACATACCATATACGGAAACTCTATTTTGGCAAAATTTGATCCCGATTTGTAATAGGCAGTTCTAGTAAAATTTGCTGGTAGTGAGAATTGTGTATTATACATTTACATGACAGGAAAGTTTGCAGAGAAATTTGAATAGAACTGTAGTGTGGAGCTGGGAAGCCTACCTTGTGAAATAAGGAGCATAAAATGGTGGCTGCAAAATACCAGCGAGTATAACTGAAATGATAACATGATGTAAAATATTTTTATTCTAGTTCTGATATTTTTTCTCTATACTTGCATGTAAGTTATACATTGTACGTTCTACATCTATGCATTTCATTTTGCACAAATGACGAACAGAGGCTGAGCAAGCTTATTAAATCAATAAGCTGTAATATGTTCTCAGTCAAAGACACAGGCTTAATTTTCACAAACATTGTTTGGTTTAATTAACAAAAACCATGCATATGATTTTACGTCAGATGAAAAGTAAAGTCTGCGTGGTTTTTACAAGAAAAGGAGTTGGCCAGAGATTGTTTTCCCTCAGTGGTTTTGTCACCTTACTCTTCACAAGCCCCCAAGCCCCTTCCCTCTCCCTCCAGAAATGTCTACAAAGTAACCAATTTCGACGAGCGCATCACCCATAGTTAAGCTTCACGGTTCACCGTGAAATAAAAACAAGCGTAACGAAACTCATGGATATAAGCTACTTCAACCAACGGAGTAAAATGTCAGCGTTTCTTGATACTTGATACGAACCCATTTCGTTACTGGTTGTAGCATAGTAGGCATTCACATTAATGGGGTTTCTAAGCCATCTACAAAAATAAGAATTTTAGACATCAGACGTACAACAGCTCTGTATTTTGTCGGCTACAATTAGGCTACAAGCAACAATATTCGAACGTTTATTCGATTCATAAAATTAACGATTTTTAAATTTCATTGGGCAAAAAATTAAGATATAAAGAACATTGAAAATAATACGAATTAGGTTTAAAAAGAACGGATCATAGTTTTGAAATAGCTTTTCACTTACTTGTCTTTATCAACGGGTAATTTAAATTCTTCTTGTTGATAAAGATATCCCCCACGATAGACGTCGACTACATTTTGAAAATAGCAGTTTGAGCAGTTAACGCCGTGCTGGAAAATGAAAAAATAAAGTAAACTCTTAATAGGATTAAGAATGCGTTAACATTAATTTTAATTAAAAACAGTTCCAATTAATTATCTACCTGTTTCAGATGAGGACTTATTAATTATCATAATCCATTCTGCATTTATGTGAAGTGATAATAAAGATTAATAGATAACATACATGTAGGTATAGGTAGTCCATGAAAGAGTCATTAAGCATATAGTCTGGGAAGCCGATCTTATGGTATCGCATTGCCCTCAGCTGAAATTGTGAAAAAAACAATAAGAAAAATTTTGGTCAATTCTATAAAAGCAGTGGTGTTCAATAGAGGCCTACGTCGTTATCAAAAGGACATGCCTGTGTTATCGGAGGTATAATTCCACAGTGCTTATTATGGGCATTCATCATCTTTATTGATTTAAAATATTTACAATAAAAAAAGAAAAAATAATAATTTTCAGGCATCATAATCAACTTTTAGTCTTCATTGTCTATCCGGTCTCAAGCTTTTTTAAGCTTTTTAAAAACTTTTTAAACTTAAAAAGAAAAAGAAAAGAAACTCCGTTTAAAAACGACTTTGGATCTCCGAATCGCATGCATACATTACGTCTTTTATTTTTGACAAAAAAAAAAGGATTTGGGAAGCGCTAAGCAGTCTATTTCTTAAGAGGGAAATTAAAAATCTTTTACATATCATCATCAGTGCTTTCTTGTCATTCATTACCTTTGCCAGTGCGTTTGATCTAGTTGGTTCGTCCATGAACGTGAGTTCGTCGATTCTTTCCTTGTACACTTCCAAAATTTCCATAACCATGCTTTTAACCTGTGGCAAAAAAATAAGATTCCTTTATGTTTTCCATAAAAGTTACCATAATATTTTCGCCAAATATACTTTATGATATGTATTCGTCTCCACTAAATGCAAGAGATCCTGCGCTTCTAGGAGACTTCGCCAATATGGGATTTATGCGCAGTGCATCTTTATAAAAACAATACTACTTTCATGAATCCAGAGCACGATCTATAGTAAAGCCATGGTCATGTTGCTGTTAGCAATGTCCTGTTGCATTATTTCGCTCTCTGATTAACAGTCTTTGAATTGTTATCTTCAATATTCATTGGAAAAAGAATCTGAGAGATTACGATTGCTCCCAGAACGTTTTCAATAAGAAGCAAATGTATATATATATTCTCCAAATGATCTCATTTGCGCATCTTATTCAACTTAAGTTTTAAGAATCTCATTTGAGGGCGCTACATTAGAAGGTTTATATATTCCATTACCTCTTCCTTTGATTCTTTGGAAAAATGTTCTCTTACGTACAAGGCGGAGATAGCATCCCCCATAGTGCTACCAACCAACGCCACGCAATCCTCCCAACGCTCTTGTGGGGAAGTCCCTGTTTAAATAAATAAACAAATGTTCATATGTCGAATGATTAAATAAATGGGAAAATGTTAATATTTGAAATCGATTGTCTCATTGCTAACTTATATAACGCAGTCAAAAGTTAGATAACGAAGAATCTACTTGCTCGTCATAGGTTATTGCGGTCTAGTATCAAAACTAATGGTTTTCTTACTCAGGCAATACGGCACAATACGAAAAAGAAATACACACAGCAGACCAAATGCAAAACAAAGAAACACACAATCTCTTAACCAACAGTAATAATAATGACAGCGGCGAATACAATTCAATATTACCAGATACAATCTTGATGACTTCTTGTCTTGCTTTTAAGAATTCACTGGACATATGCTCCGCATAACTAGCAATCAGGAGCTTAACAACATACTGATTTAGTACTCTGAAAGACACAAATAAGATACACATACACAATCAAAAATGTAAGGGCCATTTTCTCAGATGTGTCAAAAAAGAAAAAAAGGAAAAAAAGGTTTTGTGCATGTAATAGTCTGGTGAAGAGGTCATAACACACCAACGTTTATATTCAAATATTGACTTTGGGTGAGGACTTCTCGGGGATTTATTGACTCAAAGCTGAGGAACATGACCTACATCATTCACCAGAGATTTCAAACTTGAATCAGTAGTGATGCGGATTTTTTTTTTGTTTTTTTTATGATTTTCTACAGTTTAATTTTATTTGAGCACTCAATTCTTTTAAATGGCATCATAAGAGGCCTGGCTTCTAACATGTTCACAAAAGGTATATCATATAAATATTTATACAGAGTACCGGTAGGCTTACTACGCAATACAATCGTCTGGTGACGTCATGTAGTCTGTTTCAGGTTTATATCAGTCTGATTGCTAGTTACCTTCGATCAGTCTGCTGTATCAGTGTTGATAGGTAGGTCAAGAATTCTTTGCTAAAGACAATAACGACAGAATTGTTGGAAACATCTACGTCTATCTGGGCCAAATGACGGGTCCAATTAATCTGAAATTCCAAATTAATCAAAATAAAATAGAATGAAAATATTGTGATAACATCAACGTGCATTTTTTTCACACAATATACACAATTTCGAAACTTCTGTCCATAGACCAAACAAAGGAGGTATCTCTTTTTCTAATGTTCTTGCTCATTGTTTCACAATTTTACGCTCATTACGGGACCAGTTTCAAAACCCTTCTGAACTGGAAGAGCAAAGCGAAATACTATGCATGAAAGAGAGATTGTTCATGGTAAAATAACTTGCAACTCGTGGAATTCACCGAAACATAGTTTCTATTTTTAAACAAACATGCTTTAAATCTTGAAATTGGTAACAATAAACAAATTTCCGAAAGGGTCAGTTTCTTGTCACATTTTAAAGATGACATAATGATAAATTACCGCCTACAACTTTTGAGTAATCGTGCACACAATTGATCAGTTGCACGAACTTCTAGATGGTGAAAAATGAGAAAAAGTTGTCTGCGGTCTCGCGTCTTCATTTTTGTTTGCTCATGTGTTCATAACGAATGCCTCTCGACGCCTTTCTTTATATTTGACCTACTGCACTTACCTGTGGAAGGAGATGATAGAGTTCTTCAACCGTGACGTTGTTGTATCGCACATTTGGATCTAACATTTGCGGGGTAGCCGGAGAAAAGTAGATCTATAGGATTGAATTGGAAAAAAGGTTTTGGCACGTAAACATAAAAAGCAAACGACAATGATCAGGATCGTTGGAGCAAAATTTTAAATGATACCCATAATGGTATAATAGGCCTACATTCTAAATTTCTTTTCACTTATCAAATATCTATTTTGAATTAACAGAAGCTCAAAGACAAACGCAAACTTTAAGACATCACCAGTGTCCTCCAACCTTCTGAAACTCCACCATATCTGGAAGCCATCTGGGGCAACATTAACACCGTTCTCCCCCCCTCCCCCGAGAGACGATCTCTCAGCGTTATTGGACTGTGAATTGTAGTACCTTCATGGTAGAAACTTGCTGCACGTTCGGTGCCCCCCTTTATAGTGCATATGGAAGAAATAACCACCACTTGTTACGAGGCAGATAAACTGCAAAACATATACTTACAAATGCCAATTCCTTTTCAAAATAAAACACCTCCTGCGCAAAAGTTCTAGCGTTTTCCTGTGTAGCACCAAGCAGTAGAGCTAGTTTTTCTAAATAGCTCATGTAGCCCATTATATACTGGCTCTCAGTTTCGTTGTCAAAGTAATATTGTGCACTTGGTAATCCCAGACCCCCTTGATCTATCTACAAAGATAATATTAATCTAAATAAGGTTCCACGATTTCTACAGCATTCTGAATCATACCTATAGATTATATATACTTAAATGAGAAACCCACCAAACCTACGTAAGTATTTATTTGCATGCAGTATGACAAAAATGTTAAAACTATATTTAAGAATAATTTCTTTAATATGAAAAAATAGCTGCGAAGAAAGTAAGATTTCCTGCACTAAATTCTATAAATTATCCTCCAAACTAACTACTTTAATATTACCTTTGATCTCTTGTCATCTTTTTAATGCTTGTTCAAACGAAAGAAAAAAGGAATAATCAAACAGAAGTGGTCACACACACACACACACACACACACACACGATGAAAACAAAGAAATGGGCATGTCGAACATTTTATGTTTGACGCCCATCATCACTTACCATGACAGTATTGACTTCCGGTGACATGTCGTCTGGTTTCATGTAGATTGTTAGGAAAGATTGGACAAAATAATCACTGAAGATTGTAGACATGCTCTCCTCAAATCTCCAAGTGTTGTTGTCCCACGTGCCTGTTATTTAAACCAAACGATTTCCTGTTTAGTAAAATTATTCTAAACGCAACAAGATTAAATGAGGAACTAGTGTTCGTATTTTGTTTATGGCAAGTAATACAAGCAAATTGTTCACACACGAAAATTGATTTTGATTGCTTTTTAATGGTTTATTTGAGGCCTAATATCTACTGCAACTATTCAAGTCGCTCTAAATGGAATTTAAACACGTGTTTCTCATCCAATTTTACCTAATGTCAGTGACCCAGGACATACGAAAAGTTTTACTTTTAAGTTATTATTATTATTATTATTATTATTGAAAACAGTCTTAACATATAAATGGATCATCCCACCTATCGCAGCCCATCCTCCAATTTTTTCAATGGCATCAAGAAGCGGTTTGGCGCCTAGTTGGTCAATGGAATTGGTGTCCATGCAACTCTGAAATAGCCACTTCACTTTCCTCTCAAAGGATTCAACCAAATACCGCTCTGGTGGCCTCTTTAAAATCTCGAAGTTTCTCGTCTTGATTGTCTTGTCAAATATATGGAAGTTGGTCCACCTTGAACCAAATAAAGGGATTTGAATTATGAAAAAAATCATTTTCACAAGCCCCACATTTTACTGCACATCCGCGTAAGTTCCTCTACTTGTCCTACCTTCAAAAATAATATGCTCCCGTTCATGTATTATCCGAACATCAAATTTTTCTATTTTGCCTCGGTAAAAATGTTTCTGTACAAGTTTTACAAAAGGAGGGACTCTTGTTCTCAATCATGCAAATGACCACCTGATTATCCACGTGTTGGAGTATATCTGCAATTATTTGTGATAAAGTTGATGACTATTTTTACTTTTAATAGCTTTCTGTTTGATTTTAAAAGATCTCAGATTGCTAATATCACTGGTATTAATAAATTGAAAATGTTTAAAGAGGTCTTTCAACGTCTTTTATATAGTCTCCTCTTATGGCTCAAGGCGGTATTTTAAAACATAGTACTAAACTATTTCAATTGAACATGCGCCCCGATATTTTTTCAGTCAAACACATTAAAAAATAGTAAATATCAAAAGACTTACGATCCCTGAGAGGCAGGCATTGGGTTCTTCTGTAACCATCCATCACATGCAAAGTGATGGAAATCTTCGCAGGGATCGACAGAGACGTTGATGTTTGACAAGACTGCATCGGCGGATTTAATACAGTCTCGTGTCATACAATACATGGGTGCTGCTTTTGGTGGCACTGTCGTCTGCGCTTTCGAGGATACAGTTGTCGATCTGGAGGGGGCCAATTCAAGCACACCAACCGCCCCCAAGATCAATAGCAAGACCAACGCAGCTATGGCAAGAGCACAGAAAAAGAAGAGAAAGGCGAAGCATTTCTCTCTCGAAGACCACCTTTTGTTTTCATTTTTACGATCAGCTAAAGTTGACCTGCTGTTGAAATCCATCTGAAATTGGTCAGTGTGCTTGTACGGTGACGCCGACATCGTGTTACCTAACAAACCTGTTTGGTCGTTGACCGCACCCTTACTGAACTCCCAGGCTAAAAAACGCTTGTCCTTAAAACAAGCATTGGACCGTAAAGAGAACGTTTTGCTTGCGGGTCACGTGTTGTCAACAATAGGCCCGTCAACTAAAGGTGTGCAGAAAACGTGACACAGTAGGTGAGAGCGAAACGTTGGGCTTTCCTTCTTTTTTTAAACCATGCATCTTTTGAGAAGAAAAGTTGACATTTTTATGGCATCTAATAATAAATTTTATAAAGATCAATAGTAAGTCAAGGAGATAGCATTTTGAATGTGCGAAAATCAGTATTTTGCTGATTTTTAAGCAAGGTCTGTATGTTGAACCACGCCTAAGATAATACTGAAAGAGAGAAGGAGAGAGAGAGAGGAAAGAGAGAACGCCAAAATATGTACAGCCTTTTTAGAAAACAATAGCGCCCCTGGAGAACAAATTAGCATTGTTTTTGAAGCTGTTGTGCAGCAATTGATCGAATAATTTGCATTCGATGTCAATAGCCTACGCATTTTATTATTCTTTTCGATTTTTTCACATTTCAACAATGACTTCCTAAGAAAATATCATATGTCCAGGGCAAAACATGTCTGCTTTTTATGGTTCACGTGAAACATGCAGGTAAAGATGCACATGTCCAGATATCAGCTAATTATTATTGTATTGCACACCCAAAGATACATGATATTTAACCAAAAACGTTATATTTAACCAAAAATCACTATAATTGGTAAAGTAAAGCCTCGGTGTACAGTGGATATTATATGAAAAACGGGATATGAAATTCTTATTAATCAGAAAATCAAAAATCAAATACAACCAATAGCCACCTTCCATTTGTTACACATTTCGTTCAGTTTTTCTTTGGTCTGAGTTGAGAAAAATGTGAAAAAAAGTCATCCACAATCCCCTCACTCCTATTCTTATCGGACATAATGTATTACACTTACGTGGATGGTAGACATCAAGACGCATATTATTAAGTAACAAAGTAAGCTTTTCTTTAGTAGAAACTGTGGCAATAATACAACTACATAATAACCTCATAAAATGCAATAAAGTGCATGTATAATTTGGTTTGCATACACAGTATAGCACGATTTTATTAATATTCTAAGGCCTCGTTGCAGACAAAGTTTCTTACATGTTTTATTCCAGAAAAGAAAGAGAAGGGCTGGTATTTGGCACACCAACATGTGCAGTCTGTCGACTCCAGCTATTCCATTGTTATCTTTCTAATAATACACATAAGGATAAGTGCAGACTACAGTAGAAGGAGCGTGATTGTTCCGGCTCAATGGTCTGAAACCGGGGTATTTTATAACACGACTCGGGTGGGGTGGGGGTCAGTAGAATACAAGAAAAAAATTAACTAACCGTTCAAACCAATAGTTACTTTATTTTAGTGGACTACAGTTCGAGCAAAGACCACATTCTTTACAAAGATAAAATTCCTTTTCTTTATATACGTATAAAATACTGTCAAAGAGACGACGACGAAGCCGCAATCTATTGAAAAACCCCACTGTTATTTTAGATGTGTTCCACAAATTCTGTAATGTTAAACCGTTGCACCAAGTACTTGGGTCGTGTGGATAATATGCCTCAAGTTAAAAAGTACCCAACACACACACAAAAAAGAATCTTTTTGTTCTCTGATCGCACACATTTCGTGTTCAGCAGTGACCTGAACGCAGGTGAAGCAACCTCATTCTAAACGGGAGGTCGTAATTGCCGACCTGCTCAGGTCTCGCTTTTGTGACAAGATATTTGAGACTATATGAGAATATATAACTACAATTATACTGTCTGTGTAAAAGGATTTGCAGGACAGATCGCGTGCTCAGAGAGAGCGCCGCTCTTATAAGTTTCATAACAGGTCAACAACAGGTTCAGCTCAGGGGCGGATCCAGGATTATTTAAAGGGGGGGGGGGGGGGGGGGTCCGTAGATGCGAAGGTTTGGTTTGGCGAAGGTTCGGTCACTCAGAAGGGCCCCCACAAAATTTTTGGTATTTTAGAGGGCGAACGGTACAGTGTACCGGCATTTGGTACAGTTTAGTACTATAAATCAGTTAGTCAATATTCTAGTTACGAGAGAGGAAAATTAGTGTGAATTTTTTCAGAAACCGAAGTGGGGGTCAGGACTCCCCTGATCCACTCTCTAAATCCGCCACTGTAATAATATAATAATAAAAATTGAATTCACTTTTGAATTCATTCAATTTTATTTTTGGACATTTTAGCATGTGAAAGGCACCTCTATATTGGGTTTGGTTGTCTATAGCATTGCCATATTTGTATTCGACCTGCACATGTTGACCTACTTTTCCTTATCAGGAAGTTGACCTCTACAAACAAATGCCAAGTCAGGTCGGGTCGGTCATTTTGCTGACGCTACTTCATATATTGCACCGTTTGATTACTTAACCAAATATAGACAATGAAACAGGCCTGATGAAATAATTAGTAAAAAATAATGTAGTTACTGAATAAATGCACAGACACAGTATCTGTCTATAAAAGGGTGCTGAATATTCTACTTATTTTGAAAGCTGATCGATACATTAGTCACTGCTCGCTGTGGCGGGATACACGGCAGTTATTTATAGCAAGTGCTTTACAAGTGAAAATAGTGTGTAAACATCTTGGTGTAATTCTGGGTAAGCTTTTCAAACACTTCAAATCTTGGGTAGTTTGATGACATAAAATCAATCATGCAGTCTCTATACCAAATATGGATAATGAAAACGCAGTAGTCCCAAACACGGCATTTGATAACCGATTTGATTACCAAAAAAGGTGCCGAATTATTATTGATTCGTAACGTTACACGCTGGTTGATTCATACAGGGGTATTTTTGAGCTTACCTGTGACAAATTTCCTCTTTAAAGAGACTTGTATTTGCGAAAGCGTATAAATAGTCCTGAAATACATCGCTAATAGTTATATTGGACCGAAAAGCGAATAGAGAGAGGGAAAACGTTCAGTAAATTAAACTACGTCTGCAAGTTTATAGCAATTGTCAAAATGGTAAGGTATTAACTTTTCATGTTAAGTTAAAGTCATGTAAAGTAAACGTTTATTGTTTTAAAATATACTTATGTGGCAATGAGCTATATTTTGTGTTAATAAACAAATCTTTCCAAACCTTCAGGGAGCGGTTATTGGGCTTCTTATCGCCCATGAAGGATAGTTGTGGTCAGATACATTGTAAATCATTATTGTGAAGCTTTCTTCTTACTACCGTCCTCGTGGTCTCAAAGTTTTTATTAGTTTGTGGACTGTTTGATTCTTCAACCATGCCTTGAATTTTTCAGTCTTCTGGAGTTCAAGTACTAGAGGAATGCCTGACAGCCTACAATGACATCAAAATGAATAAGAAATATGCCTATGTCATCTTTAAAATCGTAGACCATAATGGCAAGGCCCTCTCAGCGATAGGTGTAGATCGTACTAGCTGCAGTTCTGGCCAACAAGATCAGGAAGAACAAGGTTTGTTGAAACTACTAAGTAGCTTTTTAACATATTACAAATAAGTACCCCTTTACTGCTTTTGAAGTATATGTATTGGGAAAGATAAGTACTGATATGGGTAACATAGCGTGGACATTCATTTGTGCAAACAGTGTACAGGGGTGGATGCAGGAGTTGAAGGGGGATCCGCGGATGCGAAGCCGCCCCCCCCCCCCCCCC